CCCCAGAAGGCAAGATCGCCGCGCCCCTTGAGGAGGAGGAGAGCAACGATGACGACAACGACGAAGAAGAGGAAGATGATGACGATGGCGACAAGCCATCCGAAGGGGAGGGCAACAAAAAAAGGTTTGCGGGAAAACTGACGCCCGAACCGATCCGCGGACCGATGAGGTACTTGGACAGCAAAATGGGCCCGGACAGTTCGATCTGGATGGATGCGGGCGGTTTGAGGGTTGGAGATGTCCTAAGCATATTCTAAACTTCAGCTCAGAAAGAGCATATTAATTCAACGGTCACTAACTCCCTTTGTGGATCCTACTTGCAAGGGAAAGAACCTTCCACGAGTAAAAGTTTTGGCATCTTGTGTGACCGTATCTTCCCTCTCCGTCATTGCCTACTTTTTTGACATAAAAGCAAGCAAATTCTGCAACACGTGTGTCTTCCATGTTTTTTTTTCAGACTCGCTTACTTGTGTACGAAGCATCACCTAGATCCCCATTGCCGGCGAAAGGTTCGTGTCAACCGCCAGCGGGAGCAAGCAGCAAGCGGCGCGACCAACAGGGACACACAAGACTAGCAGAGCTGAAATAAGCTCAGACGTAAACATCGCAGCCGAACCGTTTACAGTTGGGAGAGTATAGATATCAAGGGCATTGATGCCACCTCTTCTGCCACAGTACGAATCAACAGCTTCAGTACTAGTACGAGCCAACATCAGCAGTACTGACGAGTTATTAACTGAAAGATGGCAACGTTCGTTCTGCTTCCTACAACCATACGGTACGAAGACAGAAGAGTTTCTCTCAACGCAGACAGAAAACAGCCACAGAAAAAGCAGCCGCCGACGCCTCAAACCTTCACGCATCAGAAGAAATCAGAAGAGCTTATCTCAACGCAGACAGAACAGTTTTTGTCAAAACTCCGACGAACCCAGAACTGGTACCTGTTACACAGGAAGGCAAAATGTTACTAGTAGGTACTGTACTTGCATACTCTCAACTGGAAGAACAAAATTCCGTGCCTCCTCGGTCCCTAGAAAAAGAAAGCCTAGCAAGTTTCTGTCTATGGTACTCTTTCATAGCGCATGCTCAACAACTACCCTAATGTCCCTAAACACTACTGCCCAACTATGGCCCTCGGTCTGACATGTGGCGGTCTCACCAGCCCTGAGAGCTTCTTCGTGTAAATCCGCCAAAAAACGGTCACTTTGTGCTTGCAGTCATTAGCTATAGCCTTCCCAACATCTAGGCGCTGGGCCTGGGTATCGCCAACACTTCACCTGCTGTTCATCCGGAACAATAGTCAATCAGCAAGGAATACTCAAGTTTATAACGAGCACAGCCTTAATATGCGCAAGGAATTAAGATAATGTGAGCCAATTGTCATGTTTTGCCTCTGCAGGAGGGAAAGCATCTTTGCTTTGAGCTGACCAACTCATTCGGTGCAGTATTACTAGGGGTATTAATATATGCTGCAGATTGTGTGAAAATCTCGTGTATATGTTCCAAGAAAAACTCAAATAATCTGTAGATACTAGGGAAGGGCGGGAATGTTATATAACGATGCAAGGATCAAAGTTAATACCTACTCCCTCCGTCTCATAATATAAGAGCGTTTTTGACACTAGTGCAGTGTCGGAAACACTCTTATATTACCGGAAGGAGGGAATATCATTTACGATATGAAATAGACAAAAAAACGTACTGAACAATGAATAATACAATCCAATATCAATACCGTGCATTTTACTTTTTCGTGTCTTGCGGATGATAATGAATTTGCTCCTTAAATTGCATGGATGTAGAACAAAACCTTCCATAATACTACAAATTATTTGCACGTTTTTTAGAAACTTCTATGACCCAATTTTACGCAACTCAAATTTTGGCTCATTTTCACTTGATGTTTTCCTTATATACAGCAAGGAATGGAAACTTAGGATATGTTCTTACAAGAATCATCGTCGTTGTCGTCATCGTCATCATCGTCCTCGTGTTGAGAGGTAAAAATGGGAGTGAGATAATTCCTGTCCAATAAAGCAAACGAGGAAGTGCTGCAAGACAAAAATAACCTGATCAGAAAGCTCCTGCTCCCTTGCTGCAGCAAGAAACAATAGAGAATGCTATCGACACAAATACACAATTCTAATAAAGCGGAACTCCTTGAACAAGAATTCAAATCGAACAAGCAGCATAGTTTCTAGAGCAGGTAGTGCACCTTCTCCGGAGATCTCTGAGTTTCAATTGGAATTTGCTCTTACTAGGTGTCCCTTCCTCACTGCTCCCCTCAAAATTCTCCTGCATTCAGCAAGTAATCTATTCATAAACATAATTAACCAGTATTTTCTCAAAAAATAATAATCATAAACCGCCGGTAATACTTGGGATATTTTACATGAGCAGTGAAATGTACAAGGACAAATACAAGTCAAACAGTGAACGGAAGCAGGGTATGCACTGACCTAATAGGGAGCATACATTTTATATTTTTCCTTTTAGCACCATTTGACTCTATGGTTGTGAACATTCTTCAAGGAACTAAATGGCCATATATGGAGAAACATAATGATTGTTTTTTTTAATAGGGACATTAAATTCAGCACATTTGAATAACATATGAGGCACTCAGCATCCAACATCCACCTGCCCCTTTGCACCCCTAAAATGGGGCAGACAGGCTTCGAAACCGGGCAGGTGGCCTGCCCACCTGCAAGACCCTCTACGCCAGTTCCTACCATTGAATTTTGGATATAAAAGTATATATGTATTGCTACACACTGCAAAAGCACTTGCCTCGTACGGGTGTCGATAACAGTTACTATCCCCGACTACTTGTAGGGCTTCAAGCATTGTTCCAGTTGAACCTCCGATCAAAAGTACCTGGGATGTTGCAGTGAGAAAGTTATTTAAGTTGTTTTAGAGAATTACTAAAAGAACTATATGCAGCAACTTACAGTTAGAACAACAATAGATGTCGTAGCGGTGAAAATTGTCTCCCCGTGCCCGTCAGGAAGATCATGAACTGACTGAAGAGCAAGGGCAAAAGCCATAGCTCCTCTAAGCCCTGAACAGGAAACAGCAAGTTCTAGTAAAACTTGAACCTATTTATTTGATGATCTGATGAGCATGTTTGATGGCAATACATACCGCTATACCAGAGGGCCAGTTGATATTCCCTAGGTATTTGGGAATGAGGTGGTCGTGCCAAATTTAATATGTATGCACAAGAGAAGACATTTGCAGCCCTTCAAGACGAGAGATGAGAAACCTAGTAAGGCGCCTAACAGACGAAACAAGTTTGACAAATGGAACATATTCTCCAAACGTTCAGCAACCAAGTCTGACACATCACATGCCCATCAAATAAGGAAATCATAAAGATCAGTTGATCGAATGATACCTTGCGACTAATATGAAGACCTGCATTAGTTGACAAAAGAAACAAATTAAGTAAACAACAAAAATCGCAACATATTTATTAAGTAGAAAAATCACAAGTTGGTGCAGAATCAAAGGATACAATTGAGAAAAATATGAATCCAATATGAGACCAGCTTTGACGTTCCATTGCAATATCGAACCCCATGTATATGAATCTGTTTAGAAGAATAACCAACTTAGTAACTAAATTTGTCTAGTTCTACATGCTGCAAGTAGAATCTGACTTACATGAATGCTTCTGCTAGTGATGAAAGCAAATGGAAAAAACGAGCAGTAAAACGCTGAGAATCTTCTGACAAGTTATAAAATGTATATCTCTTCATCACCTGAAATAAAAATTTAACATCATGTAAGTATCTTTGCCTGAGAGTTTATGATCCCAGTAAGTTGAACTTGGTTACTGGTCAATTTTGGGTGTTACAATCCCATTAGAAATTCAGTAACTAAGTATAACTTCCAGTGTACAGAAGAAATACAAGGCAGAGTTCTCAAAACTGAAACTTACAATCCCGGTAAAGAGAATAGAAACAATGCCAGACAGGCCAAGGCCTTCAGCTAACATGTACCTAACACAAACGACAGTTACTGATATCAACCTATAAATGAAACATAGTGCAAAGTAGACAGGCTTACAACTTACGAGAAGTAAGGGAAAAGCACAAACAAGCAGCTCTCCAGATTATGTAAGCTGTAGATGAAAATCAAGAAATTTAGTTGCTCATATGATAAACTCTAGTTTTGGAAAAATTAGATGTGTTAGATCTTACTTCTCTACGCCAAGTTCTGCATACTTGAAGAGGTTCGACAGAATTAAGGAGTACAAACATGCATGTCTACACAACAGAAATGAGAACAACACAGTTCTACCAGTGCACAATTCATATCCCTTCTGGAACCATACAAATTATCATCATGGCTATATCAATACAAAGTGTTCTAATTGATGATCCTACAGAAATACACTTTACTCTCGACAGTTAAGTTAGTTATACATTTGTACTTAACCGCCATAATCCAAGTTCTGGTTTTCGTATCATTTCGAACCAATTTTCCCCTTTTTGTTCACTATAACCACGCCATTTGAGGTTAATCTTGGATCACCCCGAGTTACACTCAGAAACCAGAGAAAAACCGTGCAGATGCCTGCAGAGTGGCATGCTAGACTGCTACATCTATAATAATAAACTACAGTTTCAGCTATATGCTGTTATAGACAGGTTACCAACGGAAACCACGATACTTGCATAAATAACATTAACAAAGTGAAAATTAGGCTCCTATTAATTGAACAAAAGGCAAAGTAGAGGATATGAGAGCAGAAATAAGCCCAACTCCAACACCTGCACAACAAAAAGGTAGTTGAAATATCAAATGTGGAATGATAGATACAGGTTTGTATACAACCATAAGGAAAACTAAGAGAAAATAATCCCATCGAGCAAGCGAATACTATAATCTACTAGAAATGTTCCACACATAAGCAGTTTTAATGAACTAGAATTACATTACCTGATGACATAGAACCAACAAAGTTCTCAAGAAACCTCAAGATAACTAGGAAAATATTCTGGCCGGAAGAACTTGTCCTCATTGATGCCATGGTCCTGAACGAATAGGGATTTTAAAGCAAGATTGAGAAAGGAAGCACACAAAGAAAACCTTAGGAATAGCACCCTCACCTGTACAAGGATATAGCCACCTTAATTGTCAGAACGTAGGTGAATACCAAGCAATATGTGAGTATCAGTAGAAAACATTAAAAAATAACATGTTTTAAGTACGAAAAAATGACGCATACAGCATCATTTAGAACCGATTCTCCAAAAACAAGAGCATAGAGGTTCACATCGGTGCCAAGTTCCTATAATTCAATGAAGAATATGTAAACATTTATTTTAAGATAGCAGTAATTAAACTTGCACATGTTAGTATATGAAGGGACAGAAGAAACCTGAAATATAGACAAAACAGTTACAGGATCTGTTGCCGACACAAGAGCACCAAACATCATACATTCGACCAGAGGCAACCTATAGATGATGAATATTAACCCGGCAAGGTAGCTGCAAGAAAGGTAAACTGCAACATTATATGCTTATTAATAGAGGGAACTGGAAGGAATATGCAAAGTGGCAACATAAAATGGTTTCTTACACTAGAAGACCCGTAACAATGGAAGCAATGAAGGTTCCCAGGATTGCGAAAGTTATGATGGCACCGAAGTTTGAAAAGAATGGTTTCTACCAGAAACAAAATTTGAAATGTTTAGGTGTGAGCCTGGAACTGATGGGACATTAAGGTACTGTGGACCCCAACAATTCAACACTTACTGGTGCTAAGTTGAACCCTGACTGAGTAAGGTGCAGTCAAGTAAAACATGTCAAACTTCCCAAGAAATAATTAAGAAACAAAATCGGTATATACATTAAAGGATATAATATAATTGGAGGAAGCAAAAAGAGAAGGAAGAAGTCCTCCCGAAAATTGAACCATCTCCTGAATTAACACAGGAAGTAAACAAACATCAAAGATCGCACAAAATTAAAAATATTATGATAATTTACATGGCGATTTCTTTCAACCGGGACAAAGGAAAAGAGATGCAAGAATATACCTTGTACTTTTCTGAGTGTTTGATATGTTAGCAAACCCTCCAACAATCATTCCTGATATAAGAAAGTATAAGTAACTACACAACAAAGGTATAATATACAATTAATACACATATTTCAAAGTACCTCTAGAAATTACTATAACAATGCACTGCTTTGGTTCAAGATACTCTAGGTATACTAGCTAGTAACATGTACGTAGTTTGCACTTTCTCAGCATTACAATTTCAATTTTCAAATATAGCTTAATGAAAAATTCAAAATAAATAAATAGCTTAATGTCTACAGAAAGCTGTTACATAGGTTTACTCTATGAATACTTAGTTTGAGAGTACATTATATTAGTGTAACATAGTTTCGTATACAGTTAATGGACCTTGCTCCAGTAATTAAAACTAGTCATTGAAGAGAGAAGTGATTCTCTAGCCAGCCTCTGCATTCAGGAAGTTTTCAACTTGGCAAGGTTGGGATGGCAAATTACTTGGGTCACAGCCGTCGTGTGTCAAACTTTTTTTTCTGCGCCCGCATGGAGACAGTGTGGTCTTGGACGCTCCTAACGGAAAGGCCTCTCAATTGGCTACCAAGTTTTTTCCCCACTGAGAGCGAAGGTCCTACAAACACGTGGATGGCTGTACTCAAACACCACGGTAGACCGTGAATCCCTTAAATGTGGTCCATTAGCTTGATTTGACCCAATCAACAGTTACATTTGCTTCTCAGTCCTTGTTCAAGAGTGGAACGCAATGGGAGTATAGATGAATGTGTGCATAATTAGGAACTGAAGCAAAAGTTCTAGCATGTAGTCCAGAGAGTAAGACACTGGCACACAAAGAGAGGGTAGTAAGGTAGTGAAGATTTGTAATAAACTACCTGAATGCATGTGTGTTAGTACTACCAACTGTAATTCTCCTTCTAACCCACAATGTAATTCCTCTTAGCATGTTCAGCTTCAATCAAAATGTAAGTCCTTCTACACTCCCACATCCCAGTGCACTTTTGCTCATGTTGTTCTTATTTAGCCCTTCGTTAATTTCATCAAGAATTGACTAATTGAGCCTATACCTCTAGTATTTAACTATTTATCCTATCAGGAGAAAAAAATATTGTGGAACTACTTTAAGGGTAGTATTAGTATTTTGCCTACACCCTTTGTTCCCACGCTAAGTCCAAATGGACCTACGTATTGTATTGGAGCCTATACCTTTAGTATTTATTCTTTTGGGAGGAAAAGAAGTTGTAGAAATAATTAAAGGTAGCATTAGTATTTTACCTACACCCTTTGTTCCCGCGTTAAATCCAAAAGGGATCGTAGGGAGTAAAATATAACCATATACGTATACACATTCTTAAAAAAAAACGAAACCGCATTGCGTTCCATACAAGCAAGCAGAAGGGATTACAACAAAGAACCAATCACCTTGCACGGTTGCACCCAATAAGAATGCAAAGACATTGGACTGCCACATTTTCTTTTGACATGTATTAACAAACTAAAAGCTTGAAACATGAATCATACTGAGTGTAGAATTAAACACTCCAACTTAGCTAGTTTATAAGGTAAGTAGAAAGTATCAACAACTAAAGGTAGCCGATCCTTTAAGCATGACTAAAATAAACGCAAATGGCACAGCATTCATCTTATATCTCAGAAATCAGAAAAGGGACACATGATGACTACGCATTTTCCCAAAGAGCACAACAATTACAAGCAATTGAACCAACACTCAGTCGCAGCAGTAAAACTGAACACTGTCAGTACACAGCAGCGTGTACAGCGCATGCATTTTATAATTTGTTCATCAGATTCAATGGAGCAATGGACTCTATAAGGTCCAACACAAAACAGTGCGCAGAGTGGTTCACAATGTTCATCCTATATCCTTGCAATCATCATACCATCACGCACCACTCGTCGCTGAACACTGGCAGAATCATTCACGTCGCGTCACTAAACAACCCCAATTCCTGAACCAATCACATCCGTCTCACTCACTCACCGACCAAAGGAAATGCACGGGATAAAAATCGCACGGGGAATCCGTATCCACAGCTACCGTGAAGACTTAAGGTCTCATGACTCTAGAATCCCTAGCTGGTTGCCAGTGATACGATCGGCATTTCCGACCTGAAACCTCTGGGGGTGGAGGGCGGATGGATGGACGGGTATGTACCGATGAGGAGGGATGCGCTGGCCTCGGGCAGGTAGTAGAACTTGCGGCGGCGGAGGAGGTGGCCGAGCACGAAGGAGAGCACCAGCATGGATATCTGCAGCAGGATCCCCACCCCCGCCGCCTGCTGCTCGTCCACCGCCCCGCCGAACCCCGGCATCGCGCCCTGGTGCGGCGCCGCCGCGTAGTACGCCCCCGCCCCCGCCTCCATCCTCATCTTCCTCCTCCTCGCGGCGCGCGCCCTCCCCCGCCGTCGTCTCCGGCGCCTCGTCCGATGCGTTCGCCCGTCCTCTCGCGCGCGCTTCGCTCGCCGGTTATTCGGGCGAGTCGAGTGGCGACGCCTCTCCTGTCCTCCAGTTGCGGACTGGACCGGTGCTCTCTGCTGGTGTTGCTGCGGTGTTGCGGAAATGGACGGCTAAGGGTCGGTTTGCCCGTTGATCTGACGGCTCTGAGAGGCCGCGCTGTGTGGAGTGTGCGGACTAGTGTGTAAAAAATATTTGATATGCGCGCTCAAACAATAAAATAAATTATTTGATATGACTATTTCTTTCAGGGCGGCCGCTACGCGTCGGCCGGCGGATGTTTCGCCTGTACCACCGTCCAATACATGCCCCGACAACCATCTGATCCAATTACCGCGCGCGTGACTATTCCTGCAACAACCGCTCTGTTTCAGAAACAAAAAATCATGTATGCCATCCAGACACACCTGCGCGCGGCGCGGCGCCAGCCCCGCCACCGCGAAAATGCTGCTACCGGCGCGCTACAGGGCTGAAGCCGTCGACGTCAAATCCTGCAACACAATGGCGCACCACAGCATTGAGCGTTCGGACGTGCCTTCCTTATTGCAACACAGGCCTTGTTGCAGGATTACTTCTGCAACACGGGTCTTGTTGCAGGATTATTTCTGCAACATAGGTCTTGTTGCAGAATTTTTCTGCAACAGTTGTTTTGTTGCACTTTTTTGCAACTGAGTTTTAGTTGCAATTTTTTTGCAACCGAGGTCTTGTTGCAGAAATTTTTTGTAAGAGATATTTTATTACAAAACGTAGACTCGTCGTAGACCATTGCAACGCTATATATGTTTCAGAAACACAGCTTCTGTTGCAGAAATGCGTTCGACAAAGGATAGTGTGTGGAATCTCACTGGGACACGTGTGAGGCAGGGGAGGTGGCGGACGCGGACGCCGCGATCCGCTGGGTGATGGTAAGAGTTTCCCTTCTTTCAGATGTATTTAAATGTTGGACTGTGATATATACCAAACGTTCGTACCTATACAAAAGTTCCAAACGATCCCCACCTTCATGAGGCCGAGTGCACGTAGCGCGCGAGGCCGAGCCGTCGAGCGGAGGCAATCATGAGGCCCATCTCAGCGCCCCTCGCGTGACCCTGGCCCACAACCATCACGCGTCACCGCCTCCCCTAAACCCCAACTTTCTTACCTCCACAGCAAGAAAAGGCAACAAACACTCTCCATCGACCCTCCTCTTCCTCTTTCTCTCTCCCTGTCGACGAACTCAACCATTCATCTTCGTCCCCTACCCACCCACCCACCCCCAACCCCAATTTGATCAAGCAATTGCTTCACAAAACATGCAATACACTTGAGGAAACTGAAGTTACCACCGGATCCCGACTTGATCTACCACCGGGGACACCAGAACTTACCAAGCGTACAGAATCCAGCAATTGCTTCACAAAATCATGCAGAAACGCTTGGGGGACTCAAGTTACCACCAGATCTCGACTTGATCTACCACCAGGGACACCAGAACTTTCCAGACGTCCAGAATCCAGCAAAAATCTAGGTGGATCAGGTACATCTAAGCACTCCCTACTGTGTCTGAATTCCAATCCAGTTCAACCCAAAAGGCCTCAATCAAAAAAGGAAGAAAAAAGGGCCATTTTTTCTAATTTATCATACTGTGTGCATAGAAGCTACCAGCATGATAGAAATGTTTTACCAGAGGAAGTAACAATGTGCAGAATACATGAGTTATCATGACATATGCAGGATTTTTTCTTGAAAAAAGGCAACTCCTTTTCAACTTATTTCACAAAAACAGTGAAATTAGGCTACAAAACACTTGTTCTATGTAAAAAAAGTCACAACACCATAACTGAATCCATACTTGTTACAATTATTGTATAGAGAAAGCTACCACATTTTTTCATACAAAGTTATCATCAGTATTGTCATATGTTACCATGCCATCATGGTGCATCTATGCAAAGTTACCATAAAAAAACTTCAACTAATTTTTGAAGCAGGGAATGGTGTTGCCGAGTAGAATAGAGTCCCGAATGAGTAACAAATTGTTACTTGCAGAAAAAATGATAATATCCATGTCAGCTCAAAAAGAATCACAAAAAGGTACAAAAAGATAGCATGCACCATGTGCAAATGTGATTGATGTATGTAAACAATAGTGTTATTTTCAGTTGTCTGACATATGCTATTAACATGTGTAAGCAGGTGCTTCAATAACATGTCAGAAAACCACAGATATAACACAAATGCCACAGATAGTGCTGGACAAGAGAAACAACATGATGATGATGCGCGTACGACTAGCTTTGGTTCAGGTAAGTGGCAAATCACTCGAAAAAAGTGTCCACTCTATGTCTATGTTGGAAGCAGAATGTTATCATCACAACATACTACAAGTTACCACACATGTTCAATACAAGTTACCACCAAACAATGATAAATCATGTTATGACAGCCCATTTCATGTGAAAAACATGCAGGTGCTCCACCTACATCTAACCAGAGGATGCATGAGCCAAACAAGGAAGCAAGTTCTAGCATTGGGGGGGGGGGGAGAAAGGTTCTTTGATGTGTCGGTCAGCGAGTCAGCAAGTCCAGAAACAGGAGCGTTGAACGCTGATCAAGGAGGAGTTAACGCTGAGGCATACTCCACACCTAATTAAGGCTCCTGATACAACAATGAAGTTTGAAATTTTTGAGGAGGCTGTTGCTCACTATGAGCTATATGCACTCATAAATGGATTTGGGACAAGGATAGAGTACACAAGAACACTAAAGGACAACACAGTGAGCAGAGCACTCCTGTTGTATGGGAAAGGCGGCAAGCCAAAGAAGAAGGAGGAGGAGGTGCAGGATGTACTGAACCTAGAAGGCATCATGAAGAAGAGAAAAAGGCGTAAGATTGTGAGGACTGAGTGTCCAGCCCACCTTTATCTTACGCACAAGGATGCGTGGTGGAGAGTTGAACGCTTTGACGACAACCACAACCATCCACTGATAAGAAAGCCATCTCTGACAAAATTTCTAGCCTCACATCGGGACATTCCCAAAGATGAGCAAGATTTCTTACGGATTCTACATGAATGCAACATAGAGACCGCGAGGCAAATGCAACTAATTTCATGGTTCTATGGTGATGCTGAGAATGTACCATACACAACACAGGACCTTGCAAATCAGCGAGCCAAATTTCGCAAGGAGTATCGTAATGCAGACGTGGGGAGCACAATTGCATACTTTGTGGAGCTAAGGGCAAAGGATCCAGATTCCTATTGCAGAATGAAACTTGATGATGAAGACAGGGTGGAAAACGTGTTCTGGATAGATGGCGCATCACGTAGGGCATACACAAAATACAACGACATTGTGTCGTTCGACACAACGTACATGACTAATATGTACAAGATGTTGTGTGCCCCTTTCATTGGCATTAACACCCGCAGGCAATCAATCCAATTCGGTTGTGTTCTGTTCGAAACAAACTGACTGACAACTTTGTGTGGTTGTTTAACACATTCTTGCATGCGATGGGTGGGGTTGCACCAAAGAACATAATCACAGATCAGGACTTTTCCATGAGGAATGTTATTGATGAGGTGTTCATCGAGATAGTACACAAAAATTGCAGATGGCACATTATGAAAAAAACACAAGAGAAGCTTGGGAGGTTAATGGCCGATGATCAACCACTGAACAAAGCATTCAAAGATTATGTTGACAACAGCTTGAATGGTATTGTATTTTCACACAACACACTCCACTCATATAACCGCAAACTACACATTTGTGCCGCAGTATCCAAAGTTACCATGCTGAATTATAATAAATTACCACCAACAGTACACACTTTTCCCACATTTATAAAATAAGGTTTCATGTGAAAAACTGGACTGTTATGGTGAAAAAGTTACAGTACTCATGTTCTTAAGTGACCATGACCACTTGAGCATGTTTGCCATGTAGTTATAGTTCCCAATTCTACGTCGACTACAACCACCTAGTGTGGCATGAAGGAAGTTATCGTGTTAAGTGGATCAAAAGTTATCATGATATGTGTAATTGAGTTACCATCTCTTTCATTTTTGCATGGAGTGAAAGAGTTACATGAGATAGAGTCATAGAGTCACAAATATCTGTTTATTAAATATATCATAACTATGTGCATTGGGGGAGTTCCCCATTCTACATGAACCAGAACCACATACTGTCCCCTGAAGCAAGTTATCATGCTAAGTGTATTAGAATTACCATGAGGTGTGCACTGAAGTTACCATCTCCTTGGTTTTTGAATGCAGTTGAGGAGTTTGAGGGAAAATGGTGGAAGATGCTGGGTGATCATGGGAAAATGGACAACGAACATTTCCATTGGCTGTGGAAAAACAGGGAATGCCGGGTCCCGGTGTACTACATGCATGACTTCTTCCCATTCTTGCAGACAATGGCAAGGAGCGAGGGATTCAACCCTGTGTTGAAGAAGTACGTCAACCCAAATAACTTGCTAGTAGAATTTACAAAACAGTACACTGCAATACAGGAGAAGGTGATGGTGAGCATGTCAAAAGAGCACTTGGAAACAATGTACAAAGAGGTGGAAACATACTCCTTCAACCCACTCGAGTTACAGGTGCAGGGCCTCTACACACATAATCTTTTCTCCAAATTCCAGATGAAGGTGAAAACTGGCTACATATGTGACATGTTTGCAGGATGGGTCTTTCAAGGTTGGCTCAGTTAGAGGAATCATACCAAAATATGAGGATATGGACTACCATGTGCAAGCAAACAAGGATGAAGGGACATATTCATGCACTTGCTGCAAGTTTGAGCGAGATGGTATACTCTGCGCACATGTGTTATGAGTGATGGACCGGATCGGGGTGTACGAGAT